GAAGAGGAGCTTGCTGCTGCAAAGCAAGAAAAGGAAGAATCACTTGCTAGAAATGAAAGTTTGAGTTTTGAAATTGAGATGTTATCTGACAAGTTTGACGCGTCAAACAATGAATTAAATGCTTTGCAAGAAGAGCTTTCGGATTTAGTAGGCTTCTTAACCTTACTATTATACTTCGTATATGTTTTGTGTTACAGTTTTGCAGATTTTGGATTACTTTTCCTTCTCCTTTGTTACGCTAAGATTTTGAAAAGCATTTATCTTATTTTGATCAGAGATTGAAGCTTGAGAAATCTGAAAGCTCCCACCAGAAAGTGGAAAGCCAGCTTAATCTATTGGTTGAGGAAAAGGAGGAGCTAGCAATGGTATCTTGATCTCTGATTAAATTTAGAATAATTATATTTACTTTTATTTGCATTATGTGTTTATCTACTCTGTATCTTGATTTTCAGCAACTCACAAATACCCTTTTAGAATTGGAGGAGGAAAAGGCAGTGTGGTCAGCAAAGGAAAAGGTTTCTATTGAAGCCATTAAGGAAAAAGCAAATGCTCATAATGATGAGCTCACTTCACTGTCAAGTGAATTATCAAAGGTAAAAATCATATCAATAGTTTTTTGGTTTTTGAACCTTGCATGTTCTACATCTTGGTAACTTTTCCCCTCCCCATTAATCAAGCTTTTGCACGCGTATGTGATATGGCTTTTGCACTAAGCTTAAGGCCCCATTTGGTTTGATGTTTTCATGGAAAATAATTTTCCCATTTTTTCGCATTTTCCTTTGTTTGGTTTGTCAAGGGTGGTAAACAATATTTCCCATGTTGGGAAATTGCATCCTTAATTATGGAAAATACTTTCCTTCACAAAACAAGGGAAGCCACGTTTTCCTCCCTCCTCCTTACCTTCTTTTTAGTTTTTACTTCCCTCTCATCCATCCTCACATTCTCACTCCTATGTTTTACTTTTCTTTAACTTTTCTTGTATGCAACCAAACAATGGAAAACTAATTTGCAATTGTACTTTTACTTATAAATGTGCTTTCCATGAAAACTATTTTTATGAAAAATGTTTTACATCAAACCAAACGGGGCCTAAATTTTAATTGCGGGGAGGTTTAGTGATTTTTAGGGGTGAGATCGGGTAGTTGTGGCAAAGTTGATTGAAAACATTAAGATGAGAGGATGTGAAACATGTGACAATTTACTCCCTTTCTCAGTTAAATTGACTGCTTGGTTCAAAGTCTTCCAACAGAGAATTCAAGTTGTGCAAATTATTCGTAATTGTTATAATGTTTATTTTTATTGTATGATGGTTGTTTATGTTTGATTCAGATGTAGTATTTTTGACATGAAGTTATAATGATTTGTAAATGATAATATGTGCTTAATCTAGCGGTATGTTTTTCATATGAAGGTGAGAAGTGAAATGATGTCTTTCCAAAAGGAATATGAGGCCCTTCAGGAGAGATTGAAATGTGCAGAGGAACATGCAGAGTTGAAGACGAAATGCAGGTCTGCATCAATTGTCTGATCACCTTGCTATTATGATTTGATTTTCTTGTCATTACCTGTTCACCACCATCATGAAACCATTGATACCAAGTAAAGATGAGTGCATTGTGTCAACAATCACATTCATCTTAGACATGCTTCTTTTTGTTTAGAGCAGTTGACTTCTTTATCGAACTTGGGTTTGTATCCCAAATTTTTGAAACATCCATGGGCACAGCTTCACTTGGAATCTAGGTTTCACGTTTAAACTCAGCCTTTCCTCCAGAAAACATAGGTCAAGAAAAGTATTTTTGAGCGTAAGGTATTATGATAGAGTAATAAATAGCTCTTTAGGGAAATATAAACCCAAATAGGGATAGTCCATTTCCACTCCTGCAAACTATTTCACTTGGAATAGTTTCCATTCATTTTTCTTGTGGATTTACTATAGTGAAATGGGTACACTCCCTACTACAAAAACGAGTTTATACTGTGTTTTTCAACATGGACTCAACTACAAGCCTACATGTATTTATTATGGATTCATGGGTACATAACATGTCCACTTTCCAGACTGACCTCATTCTAGAAAATTTGTATGCTTTTTCCCCTTGAGCTCCAATGCCTGTAAGCATGCTGTTAATTATCCTATGAGGGTACCAATGAAGTAACATAGGCGCATAGCTTATGGAACAATCTTCATTGAATTCTTTGAATATTTTCTCTAAGCTATTGATGATTATTTGTATGACTACCACTGAACACTAGTTCCTGGACTCTATCAAATGAACCATAGTCCATAAAGCTGTAAGCTTTGTTTATTTTCAAATGACAAGTTACTGGGGAGAATCCGAGAATGACATTAACAGAAATTAGTCTATGCATGTTCTCATTCTCTATCACACAATATATAATTAACTTGTTCATTTGCCTAGAGGTATTAGTAAATTTCCATAGCATCAACCAGGCAGCCATTATTCACACAGGTGCACGAATGCTGCTATCTGAACTGTAGCTTTGGTTTCTTCTACAAATTATTGTATTTTGTGCAATTGGTGCTTTTAATGGCCTTCATATACTTGGATACTCCGTATAAGATGATAATACTGATGGCATAATTGAATCTCTCTCTTTATTATTTTTACTTTTATATTTATTTATTTTTATTTATAAAGATTTTCTCTTCTATTGTAATCTACTTATTATATTTCATAAACTTAGACTAGATTTGTTAACTGAATTAATTAAAGACATTTTTGAGATTTGGGTTGGGAAAGAGCTGAACAGAAAAGATACAGCATATTCTGTAACTCATGTCAGGTTCTTTTGAATTTTTTATTATACTGGAGAAAAGCAATTTTAATTTTTGTTTTTTTTAGGGCAATTTTGACAAATGTTTAGCTTATGATACTTTCAGCTATTTTTCTTTAGTATAAAGAGAATCACCTTGAGCTTTTCAAATATGTTCTGCAGCATGGAGAGGTTATCCGAGATTGATCACTTGAAACATGCACTTGAAGTGGCGGACAATGAGAAGAGGAATTGTGAACATGTTTGTTTCTTGTTCTATTCAAATTTCAAATTCTGTTGGATAAATTACTTTTCCATGGTACTAGCTACATTGTTCTCTTTCCTTGACAGCAATTGAAGTCCAAGCTTGACGATTTATCTTCAGAGCATAGTCTCGCGTGCAAAGAAGTGGATAAGCTTCAGACGGAGTTAGCTACTCTCAAAATGGAGCAAAAAGATTTATTATGTAGGATCAAACAAGAACAAGGATCAAATTTGTCTAATGACTTGCAGGTCTCATTTATGTGTTCTATTTGTCAAGAATATTAGTCTGATAGTTGGTAGCTATGCATTGCTCGAAAAAGTAAACCGCCTGTAGTTAGACTCCTAATAAAGGCAGTTGACCTGTTTAACTCTTATCATTCTTACAGATGAGCAAAAGCCAGCTCCAGTATATGACTGAAGAGAGGGACAACTTGAAGGCACAAATTGAAGAGCTGCAAGGAAACAAGGTTGAAATTGCTTGTATTGGACAATGCGATGATGACAGGGTAAAGTTGATAGTTTATTGGCACTGCCATCTGCTGTATCTGATAACTACTATTCGATAAGTCTATAACCTTAAAGATATCTAAAACTAAGTTTGTTTAATTTTGCAGTTGACAGCTCAACATGAAGCAGAGCATCTTTCAAAGAGATTAACTGCACTGGAATTAAAGATACATGATGTGAGTGCTTGTAGAGTTGGATTTTCTATTATTAGTGTGCTTGTGCACAGAGGATATATAATGTAGATAGCCAAGATAGGAGGCGATTTGTTTGCTGAATTGATCAATAAGCTTATTGAGTTGGTGTCGCAGCAACTATTCTCTCTTGAACTGTACTTTTTATATAACATCTTTTGGAGGAATCCTGTTCTGATGCTGATTTATCAGTGCTATCTGTTTCTCCTCTTTTGAGATCTAATTTTTTTATTTTTGTTTTAATCAGGATGAAGTTAAGAAGAACAAAGAGACAGCAAAGCTACGAATGAGACTCCGATCTACACAAGCTAAATTGGATGTCTTTCGGGAAAGGTACAAGGAGGCTTTAGATGAGCAGGATTTCATGCATAAGAAATTTGAGGAAGCTTCCACTATGTTGAAAGAACGATTGGCTTCGTACGGTATAGAGGTGCTTAACTTGAAGAAACAACTTGCTGCTGCAAATACATGCTAACCATTTCATGTATAGATATGTTAAGAGAAACACATGTGATTTGTACATTGAACTGGTTCAAAATTGAGGATTCCTGTAAACTTAGGTTATTATCATTATTCCTTAGGGAGTATATATTTGAAAACATATCGAGCTAACATACTAATTAATTGTAAAAATAGATGCAGCTTACGTATTTATTAGTAGTGGATTAACAAAGAAAGTAGTATTTTGGCGGGGAGGGATTGATTTTGATGCAGTTTGCTACTTTCTTGGGCTGTATCCTCTACTATCCTGTACGTCCTTATGTAACTTCATGTTTGATTAATGATGTTAAACTCAATTACTCATCCATGAAGTATTAATTAACCATTAATAAATTTTTTGTTGTAGCGTTTTTAATATTTTATGAACCATGGAGTTTTTTTTTTTTTTTTTTTTTTTTTTTTTTTTTTTTTGACTTAAAAAATGAAAGAAACTTGTTTGATAATGTTTATAAAAAAAAAAAAAATTTCAAACAAACAAATTTGACCATTTAATATCATTAATTTTTCATCAAGAATTCAAAATACTAGTATTCCTTTACACTTTTTTTGATAAAAAAATGTACCTTTACCTATATATGATGTTATTAAGTGATATTTAACTCTCTAACAATCTGCCATTAGTAGAAATCATTTTTTTTTTCCATCATTAGCTTACAACAGTAATTTAAGGGAAAAAGTTTAGAAAAAATGTTCTCTGAATTACTTTAAATTAGATCATGTAACAAGCTTATTAAGAAGAAGAAATATTAAATACTTGTAGATGTTTATCGAAGTTGAATACATTCAAAATACGAAATATAGTTCTTGGATAACCCAAGTAGTAATTAACAACACTAATGAAAAAAATAATCAAACTTAATTAGAGATGCCTCGAACAATTTGCTTGAATAGCCCTTTTGCCATAACTCTATAGGCATGTTGAGTCATATGCACTCCATCCCAACTCACTAGCTTAGATGGATCGCGACACACTGAAACTCCATTATTTCGACACATTCGAGTTATGTTAAAGTTGTACTCGTTATCACCAATTCCACAGCAAGTCTTTTGTACTTGATCCTTCTCAAACCCTGCATATCGATAATTATATGTATTAGTTCGAGTTGTTCAACAAAGGCTAAATAATTAATTTCAAGATTTAACATTTAAGTATGACAATAAAAAAACTATATTACTAACCATTTGAAGCAGCATTTTGAATGAGTCCCTTCAATGCGTTGAAATAATCAGCATAGACAATTGCAACATTCGGATGTTGTGTTTGAAGCTCTTTGATAGCTAATTGTAATCGATCGTTTTGAAACGTTGCGAAATTATTTAAACCCTTTAGACATTGGAGCTCATCGTACATAGTTGAGTCATTCGTCTTGAAGTTGCTTAGATAAATAGGCATGCATCCGATGGCAAAGTTACCAGGAATTACAACTTTAGTAGCGCCAAAACCAATTAGTTCCTGCAATGTATACCCATTGTTTATAATTAGTAAACTGAATATATTATATATAATAATGAACAATTATTTAAAATCATAAATAATATGTTAGTAAAATAACAACCTTCACGGAACTAATTATGGCTTGAAGTACTTCATCCACCATTTGTTGCACTTCTTCCATTGTTTTTCGTCCAAAAAATGCATAGTTAAAGTCGTTGCCTCCTGTTTCGACGATAAATAGCGCATTTGCGAGTTTGGCCTTACAATCTGCATACATTTGATTAAAAAAATTAGTAACTATTTCCTCCATCATCATTAATATCTTTAATTATTTAATATAAAAAAGAGTTATCTCAGATCAAACTTTTTAAAAAGTAGGGATACACAAGGAATAATTATATTTAGGATGGGACGGGAAGTTTAATTACCTTTAGGATTAGGGCAGAGTGAATTAAGGTGAGACTTAAACCAAGTCATTTGAACAGATAATGAACTGTTGGTAACCGGCGATGTAATGTTTTTAGCAGCTAAGGTTGAAGTGTCGAGAGCCGTCGATCCCGCAACAGCAAAGTTCACACCATGAGTGAAGTTACCGGCTTCATTAAGATATGCATCAAGCAAAGGCAAATTCAAGTATCTTGCTGCAATTTATACAATAAACAAAATTTATTAGTCATACATATATTTATAAATTGGTTTTAGTGTTTTATAGATAATAGATTCTTTGTAATATTTTGTCACTCGAATCAATTCGATTTAATTATAAAATACTATTGCATTTGTATACACGCATAATTTTGACCATTTATGAATTTAATGATATTTGATTTGTTTGTATATTTTCTTTAAAATATGTTGTCAATTAATATGAATAATGCAAAAATTAAATTGGTGCAATTATATTAGAACCAAAAAAAAAAAAAAAACTAAATGTTAAAAATAATAAATAAACATAAAAGGTGATTAGTGAGACTATTAACAATGCAAGGTGACATACCAAAAAAATCGATCATGAGAAGACCATTGGAGCAACGACCAGTAGGCTTATGAAAGTAAGTTTGTCCATAAGGAAGTCTTGCAAAGGTTGTATGTTCTCCGATGGGGGATTCACGTATCAAGTTACCGGTGTCCGATATCGAATCGCCAAATTGATAGATCGCATCTATTTTCGGTAATTGTAGTGCATGAATACGAGAAGGAAAGGAAGAGAAAAGAGCAACAACAACAAAGAATATTAGTTTCTTGCCAGCCATAATTTTCTTGCTACTACGCACTTTTTTTTGGGTTGTGTTGTGAATAAAAAAGTGAGGGGAAGAGTATGAATTTATAGGATTGAAGGTTAGAAAAATCGATGTCTTAGTCGGTTATTTAATTCGGTTAAGGGTAAGTCATAGAAGATTAGGATTTAAGGGTCAAAAAATAAATATCCTAAGTCGGTTTATAACAAGGTTTTACTAACTTGCAACCTAAGAAAAACTATTGCTATTGACTATTGTATGTAGGATTAATGTTTCCTAAATTACCGTGCTTAACTAATTTCATAGATTATACATTAACTACTTAATTTAAAAAATATATATTCAAATCCGGTAATAGATTTTATGTTCGATTTTATAAAATCATGTAATGACACATTGACACCATAGCTACTTTAATTAAAAAGTTGTTACAATCTTACAGTACTCATCATGAAGTATGTACACTCATATAGTCATATCATTTAACACAAGTTTAAAAAAATCAACTAGTAATATAAAGTTCAATTACCGAGCTACAAGTATCACAAGCAAGTTAAATTTGAGCAGATTATTGATGAATTTTATTTACAGTTTAGTATGGTAGAACCCAAATTCTTATATGTGGCTAGCCACACGATGTGACCAGTCATAATGGGGGTTATTTAGTTAGTATTATAAGGGTTATCTAATCAGTGTTTAGGAGTTAAATTGTTAGCTTAGTGTGGCTCTATCCGTTAGTGTTACAGAGGTTACTCGATCAGTGTTTTAGGGATTATTTGGTAAGTCATAAGCGGTCACACAGTGTGGCCAGCCGCACATAAGACACACTGATTTTAAAAAGATTAACACACCAAAATGGCTAAATATTATAGAAGTAAAGATGAACTAACAAAAGAAGATTTTAAATTTTTAATGATAGAGAACTTGATTAATCTTTGAGGCAAAATCAAAAGTAAAATAGTTCATTGGTAGAAAAGTCATACAACAATTACAATGTAAATTAGAAATAGCAAATACAACAGCAATTGGATTAAATAATCATAACCACGATCTTTGTAGATGACATTGATGAATATTCTCTTTCACATAGCTGTAACTTTCCACACGTGGAGTCTTTTGATCTATTATAGCTTCAAAACTGGTCAATACTTGATGTAATTAGTGTAAATGTAGAATTAACCTTAGTTGCCACATTGTACAAATCTTCATAAAAAATCAAGCAATTTTCTATGTAAAATTAAGAAAAAAAAAGCCTCAAACACTTATTAAGAGAGAAATTACGCCTAATATACGAGTAGATATAGCCCAAATAAAATTGGGTTGATAAACAATTTTACGACCAATTTTAATGCAACATCTCCGTTAACTAAGTATTACAGAGTATTTCTCAAAAAAAAAAAAAAAAAAAAACCGGAGTAGTACCATACGTTCATACCAATTAAAAATTAAGAATACTTCTAGCCGTAATGCTTTGTGAACCAATAAAACAAATTTAGTCAACGACTTGTTCATCAAATTTATGAAATCCATTCCCTTGTAATAATCTCTAATCCAAGAATGAATGAATAAATTATAATATCTTATTAAAGCCATTAATCCTCAATGCCGGCCTAATTTTGAGGAAATTGATATGTGTGGAGTGTGGTCTTAAGAGTTAAGACTGCATTTGATCAAGAAGCTAAAATTAAAAAAAAATTACGCATAAATAAACATTAGATCGATACATAAATTTGTCATGTGCATACACTTTAAAAATGTACATGTCAGAAAGGTAATGTGTACTTTAAAAATATATTCACTTTTGGATTATCATACCACTTTCTCTATCTATTGATCTCCTCTTTAATTTCATAACTAACAATTTTATTTCAAGCAGTTTGCGAAATATTTTACAAGTAAATTTACTACTATACAACTTCCAATTTTTGGGTATCTTGCTTTATTAAGCTATTTTTAGGGTGATTTTTAATTTGTGTTGATGATATCTTTATATACTAAGAAGTGAGTTTATTTTATAGATTGTAAATTTTTGTAAAGATTATATGACTATCTTTATAAATTTTTAAATGTTTTTATTTTCAACAAATAAAGTAAGCTTATAAATTTGTAATAAAGAGAACAACTTTATCAATAACAAATAGGTAATTTCACTATATATTTTTCGGGAAAAATAATAATTTTAAGGCAATTTTATATTTAGGGCTTTTCTTTTTTATGAAATTTAATAAGTTATAATCTTAGAATTTAGTACAAGATGTTAATTTAGGAAATAATAATCCGAATACAATACCAATAGGGTTTCTTTTGATGCAAGTTAATTAGTAAAACCTAATCTTCTAAAAGCTAGGGCCTTGGAGTAAGGCTAAAGAAATTAATCCTTAATCAAATGACCGACTAAGACTTGTATTTTCTATCCTTAAATTAAAATCTATAAATACGTTCACTTTCCACTCACTATTTCGTTCACAACAAAAACCCGATAAAAAGTACGTAACTAAAGACTTTGGTTATCATGGCTAACAAGAAACTAGTATTCTTTGTTGTTGTTGCTCTTTGCTCTTCCTTTCCTCTTCCTGCACTCTCTCAACAAATACCGAAAGTAGATGCGATTTATCAATTTGGCGATTCGATATCGGACACCGGTAACTTGATACGTGAATCCCCCATCGGAGAACATACAACCTTTGCAAGACTACCTTATGGACAAACTTACTTCCATAAACCTACTGGTCGTTGCTCCAATGGTCTTCTCATGATCGATTTTTTTGGTATGTCACCTTGCATTGTTAATAGTCTCACTAATCACCTTTTATGTTTATTTATTATTTTTAACATTTAGGTTTTTTTTTTTTTTTTTTTTTTTTTTGTTCCAATATAATTGCACAAATTTAATGTTTGCATGATTCGTATTAATATTAATTGACAACATATTTTAAAGAAAATATACAAACAAATCAAATGTTACGGAGTATTAAATTTATAAGTGACCAAAATTATCCATTTATTTAACACATATACAAATGTGATTGTTACATAGTACTCTATAATTAAATCGAATTGATTCGAGTGACAAAATATTACAAAGAATCTATTATCTATAAATCACTAAAACCAATTTATAAATATATGTATGACGAATAAATTTTGTTTATTGTATAAATTGCAGCAAGATACTTGAATTTGCCCTTGCTTGATGCATATCTTAATGAAGCCGGTAACTTCACTCATGGTGTGAACTTTGCTGTTGCGGGATCGACGGCTCTCGACACTTCAACCTTAGCTGCTAAAAACATTACATCGCCTGTTACCAACAGTTCATTATCTGTTCAAATGGCTTGGTTTAGGTCTCACCTTCAATCAATCTGCCCTAATAATCCAAAAGGTAATAATTGAACTTAAAAACTAACCTATCCTACAAAATATTGTCCGTATTTTTAAAATGTTGTACGTACTACATACCAAATTAATTTTGCATTATTTAGTATGCATGCGTCACTTTGATCATATCAATTGTAGTAATAATTGAAATCATATAAAATATAGTCGGATTTGAATAAATTTTTGTATAATTTAGGGTAATTAGGGTGGCTAACGCGCGCGATGCAAGTGCCATATATATATATATATTTGTGGGGTTTTATGGATTTAGACTTATGCTATAACTTTAGTTGTTAGTAAGATAAGTGAGGGAAACCATATGTCCATATATAAAGATTTTTTTTAGGGGCATTAACGTAAGCACACAGAGTTTAAAAAAAAATGCAATTAACATTAATGAGAGCAAATAAATAAATAAATATTTTAAAGGTTATAATCGTCCAAGCATTATTCATAAGAGTGATCTCATACTTTTTAAAAGGTAGGGATAAATACGTACTACACTTAAGGATATTCGTGACTCATAGTTACTAATTTTTTTTTGTTCATATATATGCAGATTGTAAAACCAAACTCGCAAAGTCATTGTTTATCATTGAAACCGGAGGCAACGACTTTAACTACGCATTTTTTGGACGAAAAACAATGAACGAAGTTCAACAAATGGTGAATGGTGTAATTCAAGCCATTATTAGTGGCGTTAAGGTTTGTATTTTTTCTAATCTTTCGAATATGGTTTTTAATGGTTTATAATATTTACATAATAATTATTGGTATGTAGGGTTTGAGAAGGATGACGTACAAAAGACTTGTTGTGGAATTGGTGACAACAAGTATAATTTTAACATAACTCGAATGTGTGGAAATAATGGAGTTCCAGTGTGTGAAGATCCATCTAAGTTAGTGAGTTGGGATGGAGTGCATATGACTCAACACGCCTACAGAGTCATGGCGAAGGGGCTATTCAAGCAAATTGTTCGAGGCATCACTAATCAACCATAATTTCTTTTATTAGTGTGTGTTAATTACTATTAGATCTATCCGGTAACTATGATCATATATTGTCGATGCATTTGACTTTGATAAACATCTACAAGTATTTGATTATTCAAGAATTTCTTCTTTAATTTGTACGGTTGTGACATGACACACATATTTTCCGATATTAAGTATATTTTATATCTCATATATGTAATGATTTAGGAAGAAAATTTCATCCTAAAACCTTTACTTTAGTACAGGTACATAAATGTTTTTAATTATGCGTTGGCTAGTTTTTTTTTTTAATTAGTTATTTATTTATTTATTTTTTATAGAAGCCATTTTTAGGAATTATATATATCATTCAAAAGACAACATTTTACGATAATTAGCTCATGACAACTCCATTTTACTTGGAAATTCAATGGGAGAAACTTTAGCATCCTAAGGCCTTGGTAAGAAAGAAAACATACAACTTTATCACCTTTACAACTTTGTAATTAAGTATGGACCCATAGCTGTTGCTATAATTATGAACATGTCATGTTAGTTGGACAATTTTTGTTTATTTTAATTATAACTTTTCCATTTAATAAACATTTTTTTTTTGTTTATCAAGCTGGTGATAAAATAATAAAAAGATACATTGTATTTTAATTTACCAAAAAAGAAAAAAAAGTTGTATTATGAGGTGAAGGGAGTACAATCACTATCCAAAAACATTAAAGATTTTGTATTGTGAAAGCAGTAATCTCTTCTCCAAAAATATTGAAGATTTTATAGTAAAAGTAATTTCTCTTTCAAAAAGATTAAAGATAACTGACTTTCTCAGCTTTTCAAAAAATAATTGATGTTACTTTAATCCTTTATCCCAAACCACTATCTTTTTCTTTCTCATTTCTCCGTGTTACAAACATCCCACCTTCGAAATTCATCTTTTCCGGGAATAACTTTTGTATACATTCGGCGTATAATACGTAGTACGGAGTAATTAACTATATATCGGGGTCCACTACTAGAAAACAGGCAAATAGCGACGGACTGGTTCCGACGAACCCATTATTCCGTCGGAAAAATCGAATTTTCCGACGGAATAGAATATATGTGTTTTCCGACGGATATTTCCGTCGGAAATTACTTTTTTCAACGGATTTATAGTCCGTCGGAAATTACTTTTTTCGACGGATTTATAGCCCATCGGAAATTTCCGTCAGAAAATATATATTTTAAAAAAAAAACTTAAACCTTTAGAAACCCTAACAACCCCCTCTTCTCCATCAGCCGCTTTTCTTTCCTCTCCTTCTCTCTCTCCTCTTTCCTCCTATTCTCTATCTCCTCTCCTCTCCTTTTCCCTCTCCGTTCTCACTCCTCTTTCCTGCTCATTCTCTCTCTTGTTCTCCTTCTTTTCTCTGCTCGTTCTCTGCTCCTCCTCTATCTCGTTCTCTTCTTCTTTCTCTCTCGTTAACCTGCTCCTCCTCTCTAACCACTAACCACCACCGACATCAACAAAAACACCAGCAACACCGACATCAATAACACCATCACCGGCATCTACATCAACAACAATTTTCATTTTTTCACCCTTTCTCTCTCTTCTCATGCAAAAAACAAAGGTTTTCAGGTCAAATTCGACCATGAAAACTCTAGATCTAGAGTTTTGATGGTCGAATTTGTCCTTTTAAACCCAATTTCGAGGTTATATATGATTGAATTAAGGTATGTATCTTTTTATTTTCAATTTTGATTTTAAGTTGTTTTATTGGATTTTTTTTTACGATTTATGGTGGTGGAAGGGTTTTGTGGGTAATGGTTAAGGATTTTAATCGTTTCTTTAATTTTATTGATAATTTTTGGTGGTGACGGTGGTTATTGGTAGCCACAGTGGTGATTTTAGGTTGTTGGTGGGGGTGTTTTGCTTAGGGTGGGGGGTTCGGCTGAATCGGGCTTGGGTTAGGGTTGTAGATCTAGGTTTGGTTTGGGTGGGTTTGGTTTAGGTGGTCTGGTGCTGTGTGATGGTGGTTGGTGGTGGGGGTAGTGGGTGGTGGTGCGGGTTAGGTGGGCTGGTGCTGTGCGGTGGTGGCTAGTGGTGGGGGTAGTGGATGGTGGTACGGGTTAGGTTGGCTTGTGTGGGGTTGGTGATGTGCGGTGGTGGGGGTGGCTTTTTTTTTTTGTTTTTTTAAGCATTTACCGACGGATTTTCCGTCGGAAGTTTCCGGCGGAATATAGTCCGTCGGAAATTTCCGGCGGAATATAGTCCGTCGGAAATTTCCGACGAACTATCCCAGGCCCGAAAATCCCATCAGATGGACTGATTTCCGTCGGCAAAGTGGTTCCGACGGAATTTTCGTCGGAAAAGTGCGTTTTCCGACAAAGTGTATTGCGACAACCAGTTTCGACGGAATTTTCGTCGGAAACGGGTTTTCCGACGGAAAACCGGGTGTTTCTGACGAAAAATTTCCGTCGTTATTTCACTATTTTCTAGTAGTGGTCACTTTAATTTATTAAATTTAGGGTCACTTTATAATTTTTTGGTTACCTTTTATTAATAAATTAAAGTATAAATACTTTGTAACTTTTATTTATGTCAGAATAACTTCTTTTTTAAATATTAGGGTAGCTTTTGCTCATTTTAGGTGTAACTTTATGACGGATGTACAATATTGTATGTACATCCGATTTAATTAAAAGTTTGTTTTTTTCTCTCGATCTCAAATCTTCACTCACAGTGAAGAAAATGAAAACAATCTACTTGGGCACGGTGTATGTAATCCCCACATACAACCTTACTTTGTCATATTTTTATTGGCTACAATAATGAGCCCATGTTCTATTAGAATTCAATTTATATTTAACTCCTAATTTTCTCTCCTTTTTTAATAATGTGTCAAATTTCTAGTGGTGTTGTATGTAGGGACAACATACAATGATTGTATGTGTATTAGCTCTCGGCACTTTCCTCTCTTCAAAAAAAGCCCCTATTCCTCGCTTCTCCTCGTTCTCACACACCCACATCAAGGTTTTTGACGATCTTCCAAAATATTATTTCATCCAGTTATTTCGAAATGTTTATCCCATTTAATATCTACACGACGTTTTTCAATACAATAAATTAAATATCTCAAACTATGTAATGCAAATATTCTAACAGTTGCATAATATTTAAAAATTAAACTTGAAGACTAATCTAACAAGATCTCAAATATCTATGTTTTGAATTATGTAAAACCGTTAAAACTACAATATTCTATTTCCATTGGAATTTCCTTATAAATTTCAAATAGGACAAACAAAATAAGATAGAGGATACAAGTTGTATAATACTTTCACGGTTCTTTTTTTACTTGACCTGTTTCTTTTATCACGCTTGACAATGCTAAGCTTTAGCGGTCAATAACTTTAATTCTTTATAAGTAAAAATTATAAAAGTTGTATATTACGATAGTACTTATTGGAACGAATTAAAAAAGATATCATATGAATATATTTTTCCTTACATATCATTCAAAAAAGACGGTCAATGGAGAGGTGATGAATAGTGTAAAAGTCAAAGCGGGTCAAGTAAAAAAGAACGGAGGAAGTATATAATAAGGATTTTTTTTTTATATATAATGAATAATCATAACTACTGATTATTCTTGAATAATCATCCCAACTTAAGTAGTTAACATCCTAAAATAATCCAAAGTATTATTTTTGTTGCTTTTGTTGATCTCGTTTGAGACTATTAATTATAAGGCAAAAGTTAACGAACGTCCTAAGGGTGTTGGATAAGATAACTAAAATAGGAATAATGAATTAAAATGAACAATTTATTGCACCGATTGACATGTAAGTTTGGCATACATTCCTAAATTAATACCATTTTAAGAATTATTTTACAAGTAAATGTTTATCTAACGCCAGGAGAGCGTTCGTAAACAAGATCCATAATAAAAAAATAAATTTGAGTTTTATAAAGAAAATACCTATATAAGTTGAGATTATATTATTACATATAATAAAAAAAAATGAGCTAGATTATTATTTTGTGTTCA